GAGGATGGCCGCGGATCCCCCTTCTGCAGGGCAGCCAGCTGTTAAGAGCTTGCTGCTTGTTATCCCCTTTATCTCCCTCCGATGTGGTGTAGTGAAGCAGAGCCTGCTGATACATTGCCCAGATATGGTGCCTACAGATGTCCTAACAAATAAACTCTCCTTCAGGACTTGGTTACGAGCATTTGAGATGAGTTCAAAAAGAGAGCCTGTGGGAATGTCTCACTTAGGCTGCTCTTCAGGGTGCATTTCTTTTCCTTCACCACCTCTCTCCCCGTCCTGATAATCACTGTGCAAAAGAGAGACGCAGTTTGTCACCCTGTGATGCTAGGAAATAATGAGTACCATCAGGAATTCTGCTTGTCTTCCATAAAAATCTCGTAACTGAGAGCTATTTTATAAACCCCTGTCAGTTCTGTGCCCATATTTCTTGTAAAACTACACCCACCAGCCATCATTTCTCCACTAGGGCTCATAATTCCTTCTCTCCTCATTCTTTCAAACAGCTACCTCATCTTATATCACTCTTTGCATAAACTGAGGTTGACTGATATCTGGATAGTATCATCCGCTGCTTTCCTGATTAGTTACACACACAGCAAGGGGTTTCAAGTTCTTTCTTTACTGGTACTGTCCTGGCTCTTTCTCCTAGGATAGAGGGGGAAAAAAAAATAAAAAAATCCCTCCTTTTCTGGCTGCCATTGCAGGTTAAGCTTTCCTGCACAAATCCAATAAATGTGCTTCTGTTTCCCTACGTACTGAACTTACCTGCAAAAGGATCCTATTTCCATCGTGGTCTTCTGTCTGCCACCTGCCTTCACTGATGGGGCTGCAAGGGTTGGGCAAGAGAGGCACAAGCTGCCCCACATCTTTTACTCTGAACTCCAGCACCGCTGACTCCGTCGGCACCGGCACTTGGCCCTTCGGAAGTTTTTTTAAAGAAAACTGAATGTCTATTTCCACGTTAGAATAGACAGGAAAAACACAAAAGTCAGCTTTTTTCTGACATACTGGTCTTTTCAGTATTAACTCGTACAATTTCAAAATGTCAACAAAGTTTTCACTCCTGCAGTATATAGTGAAGCGGATAATTTCTTTCCCGTAGTGCACTGGGCGAATGGCCCACAGAGGAGTCTCTGGAGCCAAAGTGTAGAAGTCCTGGCTGCATGGCATGTAAGGGAGGAACTTCCCATGCACTCGCTCTGTGTGGTGGTAACGCCAAGGTGGCCGCTGAAAGCTTTCGTGGAGCTGCAAGATTGGTTCTTCTCCATATTCCTCCTGCAGAAACAGAATGACGGCAAGGGCTGGCTGAGAAACACCAGCCTTACCTGGCTTCCTGCGCTTCTTGGGCACTCGTCTCTCTGAGACTCGAAACAGCTGGAGGTCTGGATGGATCCAGGCTAGAAGCTTATCGATGGCTTGCTGAAGAGTCTTGGATTGACCTGGGTCTGTGATGATATGGACACTAACAAGGAACGGGTCTTGTACGCCTTCCACAGAAAGTTCACCTGAGAGTATAAAAAGAAAAATACCCTTTAAGATTTGTAACCAAGTTGTCAACATTTAGGTGATCCTTAAAGGACAAACGGTCTACTCAGTCACACTGGGCTTTTTTTTCCATCTCCCTCAAGCTCACCTGCAGTAAACTAAAAATAATGTACAGAGATATAGAAACCAAGAAAATAATCAGGAGACAGAGACATTTCATCAAGCATAATGTAAGAATTGCTGTTTCTACTGAGGTAGCATTCAAAAGACGCTACCCAATGTGCATTTCAGTGTTAGAAAATAGCTGCCCCATACAGATGAGAGGTAGGAAAGACAAAAATACTGATGTAGAGTGGGGGTGAAAGGGACACTAACGATGTGCAGAATGATCAGGGTGGACAGTGTTCATCCCACCTTGTTTTAATTTGTGCCAGTTGGCTCAGGACATGGAAATCACACCACTGAACTCCACTCTTATCACCCTGACGTTGGAGTTTTCCACCCAGTTAAGAGCGTTTTGTGTCCTGGAGGCAACTGTTTTAATAAGTAAGGCCAAGTTTGTAGGGAGAGGTAATATCTTTTATTAGACCAACTGATACAGTTGGGAAAAAAAACAGACGAGCCTTCAGGCACACAAGTCCTTCTTCAGGAAAAGATATTACTTATCCCTAACAAATCCTGCACTGTTTATACCTTCAAACCATCAAGACTATAATACTACTGCTTCAAGGTGTTTATAAGATTAGGGAAGACTGGTAAAGGCACAAAAAAATTACACTTACTCAAGGGAAAAAAAGAAACCTCTAGTTCGCCTTGAGCATGTTCACAGGGGCTCTATCTGTTGTTGTCCCTGAAACCTCTTTGATAGCTCAGAAGCAGAGCGATGGCTGGTTGGAGGGCAGGGGAGAAATCGTCACTTCTGTTCTGCTGCAGTTGCGTGCCAATAAAGATGCACGTGAATGGAGATCCAAGACAGTTTAATAAATTATCCAGGGAATCTGGATAATTTTGCTGAAATGGTTCCCCCCGTGTGGTGTTCTGAAGCCACCTCCATGTCTGAGGCCCTGAGCCTGGGCACAAAGCCTAAACGGGTGAAGCCTTAGAAAAGCTTCCCAAGCTTTTCATTGTGCAGACCACATTTAATAGGGGAATTGTCTCACAGGCTGTTTCCCCTTCTATTGGCAATCGGTACGGACCTCTTCCTCCTCCCTCCTGGCATCAGAATAACATTCCTGTGATACTTCAGCAACTGCTTTAATGGAAACACAGTATTATACAAGTAGTGTATTTTAGTTGTCTTTCAATACAGAATAGCTGCAAGACCCAGAGAAAAGCTAGACGCAACTGCATAGCTTTCCAGAGGTGACTGGTAAACATACCATTAGCCTCAATTTAGAAGCTGCAGAAAGATATGGTATGCAGAGCAAATAGCAAGCATGCATTTTGCCTTGGGGAGATATAGAAAAATCAAGCAAATAATCAAAAATACAATTACAGCAGAGTTCTCATATCTCTGCATGAAATGGGTGGTCTGGAGTGACTTTGTCAGACGGTTAATTGGAGAAAAAATTTGAAGCAAAAAAAAAAATCTGTGTCAGTATATGGCAAGAGGCTTTGCTGTGGCAATTGTTACTGGTAGGTAATTCTTTGAGAATTATCCCCTGTGGATAGTCCCAGTGTGGGAGAAGGATGAAGCGGGTTTGTGGGGCGGTCTTCTCGTGGTCCTTTACACGGGACAGCAGGACAGGAAGGAAAGCAAATTGCAAGGGACAGTGATCTAATAAAACCAGAAAGAAAGTAATCGCCATAGCTACACAGTCATTCATTTTCTAAGACTGGAATAGAAGATGTTCAGCTCTTTTCTGCCTCTGTTTCCTTTGTTACACAAATGCTATCAAAGCCCGCAACAAGTGACAGGCTTGATATTTATGCATATAAATGATCGCAGCTCTGAAAGAACCCTGGCCACAACAATGTGAAGCAAAGTGCCATCGTTCCTGTCAGCTTCTTGCTCTACATTGAGAAAAAAAACAAAACTAAACCAAAATCCCTGAGCATGGCTTTTCTGCCCTCCTGTTGCTCAGCACGGTGCTCAGACACTGAATGGCTAAAGCATTTTTCAAAAGTGGAGCCCTGTGGGAGCCAGCCCCAGCATTAGTATTCTGCAGGCATCGCTGCCTGTGCCCATCAGCACCAGATGCTCACAGAGCCAGCCTCAAAAGACCACCAAAGCATGGCACAAAGCCATCGTTAGGAGCTAGGGTTATATGTACAGCAGAGCAAATCATCTTTTTTTTTGAGCTAGAAGCAAAAAAGAAGGGGGAAAAGTGTAACAAGTCAGGCGAGAAAGAGCTTCAGTATCTATTTTATGTTAGCAAAGATGCTTTTTACTGCAACACCTTTCATTATGTGACTTCTGTGCTTATAAAATGGCAGCCCTTTCTATTTTGGCAAGAAACAGAGAAATGTAAGAAAAGCAGAAATAGGAGGCAAGGAGTTAAGAGAAACTTCCCCTGAACTGATGATAAGTTGCAAATTGTTTCTATGTTACTAACAAGTCTTTTTGCTTCAACTGACAAGGAAGGGGGGAAACGACACCGTTTCTCATGACACAGTTGGGTTTGCCCCTGGCAAATTGTCACAGAAGCAAATGACAGCTCTGCATATGTATTAGCCTTCCTCTCTTACTAGTTAATCCCACAGAAAATATCAAAATGCTGAGGCATCTATTTGAAAATAAGCTCCACAGTTCTCACAGCCATTACATTTTTTTCTCTCCTGTGACAGAAGGGGATTAGTTCTCTTCGAGTTGGCAAAGCACTAACATTGCTAAGAGGTAATTACTACCAGGATTGAAAGAATATTTTACAATTCTAAACTTTTCACTTGCCTGTTAGGTAGTATTAACCACCCATGAGAGGTTAAAGCAAACAGTCAGCCCAAATGCTGGGGTCTGTCACACTTGATGTCCTAAAGCTGGGAGATGAAGGTAGCCTGATACTTTATGATTGAGCTTTGGATGTGTCCTTCCCTACATATTATTTTTATTCTGTTGCTGATGCAGTATTGCCGAGGGGAGAGAAAAGGAAGTCCTACAAAGTAGAAAGGCAGTCTTGCCCTGTGGTTCTTCCTCCCCTCCTTTCCCTGCCCAGAAACCAGGATCTTTTCATCAGAAAGACAATCTGACAGAAAGCAGTGGGTGCTGTCAAGTCTGTCTGTACCAGCTGCCTCATTTCGGTGTAACTTCACCGAAATTCAAGCTGCCTTGTCTTGGGGACAGGCAGCCCAGGTACCTGTCTGTCTAGCCCAGTTGCCTACGTCCCCTGCTGAGTGCATGGGGAGAGGTTACCACCTCTGAAAAACCTGCGGAAGATGATCTTGCCTTCCTAATTCCTTTTCTCTGCCCTCACTCTGTAGGGAACAGCGGTGGGTGCAGAGGACAACCCTCCTGGCATCCAGAGCTGCCCAGCCCTCCCTTGGCCAGAGGTGCCCAGCAGGACGGCTATGATCCAGCCACACAAACACCCATGGGGGAAGTGGGAAGCAATGGGTTAAGTGCTCCGCTCCCTTGGGATGGAGATGGTACCTGAGAGATACCATAAAGACTAGGGTATCTGGTAACACCGTCCGTGCTGCAGCTGGCCAGAAAGGCAGGGCTCCTGGCCCAAAGCAGGCACAAGCGGCTGTAACTTCAGGTCAGCAACCCTAGCAGCTGGGAAGCTCATCTCGAGGTACGGGGAACTGGGGATACAACTCCTTCTCCATGGAGTATGTATGCATTTTACTTTAAACCACACAAGAGGGAAAATGTCCCTGGAAGAAATGAGCGGAGTTTTCTCCCATGCAACCTGAATAACCCTAGGTTAGAGAAGTCTCCCTCTTGCATTTGCTTTTTGGCCCTCGCACACCTGGCTCCCGCAGAACGGTTACTGGGTTATCTGCCCACAACCTGGCAGTCTGCTCCCTCCTTTACGTTGTGAGAGGCCCAGGTTGCATTCCCCTTGGAGCTGCCCTGCATGAAGACCTGTCCCTTCTCGGGGCAGTGCTCCAACCATTTTTGTTATGTCAGGAGAAGTCACCACCTTCAGCAGTCTTGATGACATCTGATTTTCCAGGTTTCTCCAGTGCACTTGGCTGGAAATCCACTGACTGCCTAAAACCAGCCCACAGCAGAGCTTAGGAAGGAGATAAGTACCTGTCTCCCTGAAATGTCTCTCCTAACCCTGTGTTGGCCAATCAAGATAGGGACCTAAATACCTCTCAGACTCACCAGGAGATATTTAATGAAGAGTTACGTACAGGGTTAGGCAAATCTGGTAAGTACGTGAGCTCGGATGGAGTCTGTGGCAAAGACAGACTTTAGGCAGGCTGGATCCTGGTCCCAGTTTGTGCATGGGAAAGTGCATTTCCAAACTGTGGCAGGTATTTTTAACTTTCTAACCACCTACATTTTCAATTTTCTATCCAGGAAACTCAGAGGAAGTATTCAACTTATAAATACTTGACACAAATATTTTTTTTTTTAGCTGACCCGCAATATTGCGCTGAGAATCTGAACACTGAAACGTGAACTTCCACTTTCCCACTGCGGCATGCTGCTTCACGGGAACCAACGCCTGAACCTCTCTTACACTGTACAGACTAGATTCCTTTATCACTACATCAGGCAGTAAGATTTCACATTCCATTCTGACCAAATTGCACTACAGGAGATGTAAATCAGGCAATGGGAGAGGGTCAGAGCGAATGCGCCAAGCTTCTGAACGGCAACTCCCACCGAGCACTACTTCATTATCAGGAAATAATTGCTATCAGGAAGTAATGAAATAATTCAAAACCGAACACTACAGATCAGCATATTTTGTTCATTGCAAATAAATCAAAATATTTCAACTGTGGGAATGTAAAAAAAAACCAACACCACTGTATAAATAATGTCAGAAAAAAAGCACTATAATATTTTCTAATTGGAACTTCCCAGGATTTCTGTTGCACAGAAAATGTCAACATTTCCCTATTT